GTCTTAGAGGGCATGTTATGGTTATGAAAAAAATGTGAAAAGTCGTAGGAAAATATTTCAAAACAATTCTGAAAATGCAACATTTTGACCTTTACTCTAAAAAAATCTGAAGTTCAAAATCATAAAGCATTAGTGCTCACTTAAATAAATTATATAATACCTCTAATGATGAATTAACTATGTGGGAGAAATTTCAAAAACATGTGTTATTTTAAAAAAACTTAAAAGTATTCATTAAATTGAGTTAAAGTTTAGTGCATTGTGGTGTATAAAAAAGATAAAGAAAAAAAATTTAATATTTTTTTAAGAGTAGTTAACTTAGTTTAAGTGATTTTTTTGTGTTTTTTTAAATTTTGTGATATCTCTCTAAAGTGAAAATTATTCATAATATAGTAGGGAGGGGAGAACCCTCTATCTTTTAACAATGCACTTGTGGGAGAGGATCCAAACAACTGATGCAATTTTTTAAAATTCACGAATTTTATTAAAAAGTGGACCTCCACTATTTTTATAAGCACACTATATCTGAGCAAGAAATTTAAATAAAAAGTTTGGAATCTTTGTTGGGAATTCTTGGAAAATGTTGCGCATAACATAACCCAGTAAATTAAAATTTGGTTCAAATTTGCCGGGCCTTGAGTGTTGCCAGATTGATTGAGAAATATCAATTGTGGAGTGTATTCTGTAATTATTGACAGTGATGTGATGTCCGTAGGGTCAGACATTTTACTAAAAGTAATGTTTTTGGTGTCAAGGACTGACAACGGATTCTGACTGCACTAAGTACTTGAGATTTACTACACTTGAGGACAATAAAAATGTCATTTTTTTGTTAACAGTGACCAAAACGAATTCATGTTTAAAAACAGCTTTTTATTTCACAATACTTACTCTTTATTATGTAATTAGTGGTGCTGCAACAGCACGTAGTCTCGTGACATTATTAACGGCTATGTAATATTAGTATATGACAATTTGTGTCTTACACTTCAACTACAATTTGAAAAATTCTTAAACAAACTATGTTTGAAAAGTAGATATTTGTGAAAATTTAAATGCTGAAACGAAAACAGCTTTCTGCCATTGAATTCAGTCCATCCACGTTCCACTTAAATGTAGTAACAATGCACGATGCATATTTTAGCCGAAAATTAAAGTATTAGTTTAAATTAACGCGAACGAAAGGCAGCCGACATTATCAATGCGGCGTTACAACAATGGGCTGCAACAAGGAACAATCACCACCAATTCATACGGGATACGCATTTTGCAAATAAGCAAGAAAATAAAATTGACAAAAATATATTTTCATATTCATCAACTTTACTCGGGTTTTACGTGCATTACTCTTCATTCCCACATATTATGCAAAGCAAAATCATTTGCTCGTTTTCACATTGAACTCAAACGGAAGCAATTTAAAATATGTTTTCAATAATTTCTAAAAGATTAATATTAAAACCTATAACAAAAACTTAAAAAGTACGAAAGAAACAAATAAATATGAAACAATATACATATTCTAACTTACCTAGCATCTGCGGTGGAAATAACCACCATGCTAGCATCAAACTGCCTCCCTACACCATTTTACGTTCACAAAGCGCAGTAAATTCGGAGCGGGTCAAATTTGACGCCAAAATACTCATACTCATGACTCAAGGTTATTGTCGAAAAATTCAACATGGCCTTGTTTGAAGTTCTGTTTTTGATTAACACATTTCATTAAGAAAATGTATGTTTATAACTAGTTGTAAGAAGACGCCGAAAAAATTTTGATTTTTTTTCCAATTTACAAAAAGTCAGCTTTTTTAACGAACTTCATACCTGGGCTATTCTATTAAGCTAAGGTCAAAATTTAATCAAACTAGTGGTGTAACAACAGCACGTACTTTCTCGCGATATTGCTAATATCTATGTAATATTACAATTTCTCTCATACACCTATTAGATTTGAAAAATTCTTAAACGAAGAGTGAAAAATACATATTTTTTTTAGTTCAAGGAAAGCAGCCCACAGTGTATCCACGTTCTACATAAATGTACCAACGCTTATGCGTATTTTAGCCGTAAATAAAATTATTAGTTTATATTAACGCGATCGAACTGCGGCCATAATTATCGCCTTCTCTTATCAGCAAGGCGTTACAGTAATGTTGAAACATGCATAAATGACTGCTAATTCGTATGGGTTAAACATTTTGCAAATTGGCATTGTTGATACCCCTGGCAAGAAAATAAAATTGGATACAAAAATATAATTAAATATATTGTTATATTCAAAACTACTCTGGTTTTACGCGCATTACTCTTCATTCCCACATCATATTATTGAAAGCGAGATCATCTATTCCTTTTCACATTTAACGCAATTAAAGGCCGCAGTTAAAATACATTTTAAATAAATTATAAAATATTAATTTGTAAACGTACAACAAAAGCTCGAATGTAACAAACAAAGAAATTCTCTGGCACAGATACTCTTTGTCTACCCACCCTTTTGAAACATTTCCGCTACAAATATTCCACGAGATGGCTGTTCAAAACCTTTAGGCGCAAACTACTGCGCGAGAGACGATGACGGAAGGGGCGCCGTTGGCTTTCAAGGGTCTTCTCTGTTCCCTGTCTCCAAATCCATTTCCTCTGTTCCCAATAGCAGTTGATAAAGCCCCACAATCCCACGAGTGGGAACGAGTCGATGCTCACGACACCACAATGTACTGACTGCTTCATTTTCCCCAATATTTGACCAAGTCATCCATTTCATGCTGGAACGACAAACACTGACTAATACCTATTTAGATTAGGAAGGTTCGCGGAACGAACCGAGAATATGGACATTTGTTTTGTTAGCAAACCTATAGTGACATACGAAGAGCAAAATCCTAAAAAATGGCTTAAAGAAAATTTCCTGTTTGACCCAAAATTTCGCAAAAACTACTCTTGTGTTTGAAAAATTGAACATGACCTTATTTGAAGATGTTTTTGATGAACACATTTCATTAAAAGAAAAAAATTATATCTTCATAATTGTAATTGTCGAAAGATGAACAAATTTTGACTTTTTTCATTTTCGAAAAAATTGGGGTTTCCAACCAATTGAGACCTACGCCATTCTTTTAAACGTCCTTCGGACTAACCATCAACAAAAATGATAGAGCCGTTTTTAAGAAAAATATGATTAAATAAATTAAAAATTGACTATTTTTTCCTCAAAATTATGCGAAAATACTCAAATTTTCGAAAAATTGTACATGAACTTATTTCAAAATCTATCATTGAAGGAACAGATTTTATTAACAGAAAAAAATCTATCTTTATTATTTTAGTTGAATGAAGATTATGTATTTGTCAGTATGTAGATGTATTTGTCCTTCAAACTATAAAGCATTGAAGGCTTTCACGGCCGGGGTCAATATTATGCATGTCTTCCGGGCTGTTTGCCATTCAGCCACCGTCCCGACACTTCGTCCGAGACCTACCACTGAGGATGCCCACCCTAGTTGTGGGCGCAACATTTGGCAGTTCAAAGCCAATTGGATCACGGCCCATCAGCCCGGAAGACATGAATAATAGTGGCACCGACCGTGAAAGCCCTGTCCTCGATTGTCCTGAATGAATGACCTTCAGACTATCCATAACAAAATTTAATCAAAATCGATGAGGCCATTTTTTGAAAAATTTGAAAATGTTCTAGGGATTTCATGTAAAGTTCCCCCAAAGTACCAACCAATTTTCTCAATTTTTCTTTTCTTCTTATTATTTTGTTAGTGTGATAGACATTTAAATTTTTTCAGTATCTTTCTACAACTAAAATATTAGACATTTTTTTCCTTAATGAAATCTGTTCTTTAAAGATAGATTTTGAAATAGGGTCATGAACAATTTTTTCGAACATTTAAATGCTTTTCCTGTAGTTTTGCATCAAAATATGAGTGAGAAAGTTCACACCACTAGTTAATGAAAATATGGGGGAGGGGGGAGAATCCCCCCCCCCGTGGATCCACACCTGGCATAACAAATATTATTGATTTGATGTCCCCCAACTCTTACAGCTGCATTCAATTCATCCTTTCACTTTCTTCATGATATTTTCAGTGTGTAATAGACCTGGAGAGAGGATACATCCTACCAAGTTTTAGAAAAGTCCAAAAAACATAAATACAGGTTCTTTTGGAATGGACTGCTCTCTTCCATAATCCACCAAAGATTTGCTATTTGGTCTCAGGTCCTTTCTGTACCTTGCTTGTACCATTGAAAGATCTGTTTCCATTAAAGGTTCAAGTCTTTTGTTTATTATTTAAGCAGTAGTATCTTACTTTCATGACTTATCAGCGTTATTGTTCTATTGTTGGCTCTTATTGTCTTCTTTTTTGGTAGTGGAATGAAAATGGTTTTCTTCCACTCAGGCCATTCCTTTCTCCTTCATATCAAGTGCAAAGATCTAAAATCTTTCCTATAATTGAGTCACCTGCACTTTTTTTATCAATTCAATGGGTATATTATCAGGCTCAGGATATTTCCTATTCTCTAACAGCTTAAGTGCCGTGATGACTTCCTCTTTTAAAATTGGGGGTTATTTTTCATAACTTCTTGCAATTAAATGACTGTCAATATTGGAATCCCTGTCATAAAGTTGCTGAGTATATTCCTCCATCTTTTAAAAATATCTTGTTGATGAGGTGAAAATGTTACAATTACATAGTATATTATATAGCACATTAAATAGTATCATGAGACCATTACTACAGATGAGAAAGTATGTGCTATATCACTAGTTTTTATATCCCGTGATAGAAACTAATACCCAACAATAAAAACAGGGCTCTCTTGTAACTGTGGAAATTTTGGGAAACTAGGGTAAACTTGCGAAAACAAGTATTATCATGTGAGTAGCAATCTTGTAAACATGAATGTGGATACAATGATGCAGAATAGGTAGAGCAATATTATTTTTTTGTATGAATGGATGCACAGTAAATCAATCAACATTTTTTTATTGAAAATGGAAATACATGTTAAAAAACATTAAAGGATTTCTTCAGTTTGCTGTATTTTATTTTCAACAAAAATATTTCTTGCTTTCTGATAATTGTCAGCAATAAAACAAATTCACACAGAAAATATTAATAAATTACTTAATATTAATCAATATATCTCATATTATACAATAACAAATTATGATTCAAGTCTGAAGGGCACCATATACCAGTAGAGTGAGCAAGCAGTGTCTTTGGTTTATTCAAAACAACACCAATTTATTTGTATATTGTTTTTAAACATTCTTTTCAAATATTTTTTTAAATTACATTACATTGACACGTCCTCAAACTAAAAATATCACAGTTTTCTCCATCATTTGATAAATTACATTAATCCCAGTTACAAAATCTCATACATTTCAAATATATGAACTCATTACCAATAAATCTGTATCTGAACTTTAAAAAGCCATAGAGGTTGAACTGAAGCAAAAAGTACCTTTAGTTCATATTAAAACTAGATAACATTTCAATACTGGTGAATAGTTCAACTTCAAAAAGTTCAATTTAAGAACATTTGAAGGTCTCTTAAAATTTCACATTATTTTACATTGTGTATATAAGTAAATTATGAAGGTGCTCAGACATTCAGACTGAAAAAGATTTAAATCAATTTGAATTTATATTTACAATCCAAACAGTGCAACACAAACATAAACTTAAACATTTCACTCAAAGTGCTGTTGATAATTATGTATAATTTTTCATCTCATCTCATGTATCATGAGAATAATTTTACATCTTGGGGGGAAAAAAAATCTTTCATTATAAGAGAAACATTTGAGTTTATTGTGATTTTAAAATTTATTTGGGAAAATAACTAATCCTGGTGGAAGATAATTGGTTGTACTGATATGTTTTAAGTATTTCATCTGCTACTCTGTATGTACTTTGGAACAGTTCCTACTTATGTATTCAGGGTTCGAAGGTGAAGATTACTATTTTTCCGCTATGTGGATCTTCATTCAAATTTTAATGTTTTTTTCTATTGAAAAATCTTTAGAAACATCTTACATTGCTTAAGACAAATTTTAGTTTACAGTTCTTCTAGAAAATGACAATAAAAACAAAGGATCAGCAAATTACATTTGTTGATAAATTTCACATTTCATAAAACCCCTAGTTCTATTACTAGCAAATCAATTTAGTAGCTGGTGGAAACAAACAGAACTAGAGAAGCTTACAGAAATTTCTTAATTTCAATGCGAGCTTACTTACAAGACTAATTCACACCAAGAAAAATTAAAAATTCAGTTGTGAACATTTTTCAAAAACACTTGACAAGAGTAATTAATTAAGTTTTATAGCATTTTTGAAACATTGAATGTGTCTTTTTTTAACATGTATAATCAGAGTAATTAAATAAATATATATCAAAGTTGTTTTGCATGAGAAATTACATTTCATATAATGCAAAAATTCAACTTAAGTGACAATAGAAGTTACAAAGGAACAATGAATGGACATGCAGTTCTACATATTAATAATAAATTCGACTTGCATTAACGGAAAATCAAAACAATTTTTAAACCATTTTGATGTGTGTCATAGATACTGCTAATTTGTTAATTTGATGATTGCTTTCAAGAGCAAACCTGTCAACTTGACATCTGTTGAGAATGGAATATGTTTATGAAGGAATACTCACGACTAAAATATTAATTAAAGTATTGCAGAGAACAGTCTTATTGGAACAATAACACATACTCAAAAGAAAATTGTAATAGAATAAGGTAAAGAAAAACTGGAAAGATCATGCACAACAAACCAGAATTTCATCTATTAGGTAATGTCTACATTAGACTTCACATGACTAACGTTAATTGAAGCGTCTGAGAAGCAAGATTTGTTTTTTAACCAAGTTTTTAGGTGTAATATAATATTAAAAAATGTCAGGTACCCAAAAATATATTCACCATCTACTGCCATAAATGTGTGTTTACTGAGCTCACAATAAGATTATAAATTTACCTAAAGATTCAAATTGTAGTGTTAAAAAAATAAAATAAAATGTATCTTGGAAGATGGAAAATTATAGTTGTTATTCAGAACCGTATATTGAAAAAAGTGAATTGAAAATAGAGATATATTACCTCCAAATATTCTAAACCAATTATGTGGATTAATGCCATGAAATACAAATTCTATTAATGATGATCGTCATCAAGATTAAGCTGCTAATATTATTAGTCCTTTGTCCTTTGAACTGAAAAGCTTTCAGAGATGGCACATTGAGATCAGACATTTGCTATCATGATTGTGAGATGCACTAAATAATTGCAATGTTTACTTAAGCGTCTTTAGTTTTCTTTCTTTGACCTCTCTTTATATTTGGAGATGGCCAAATTCACAAGTTCCCTCTCTTGATAACACCACACAATTACTACTGCCATGAAACACACAACTCCAACCCCAAGATGAATAATTTTAAATGAGTCAAAAAAGTATCTCTCAGAAAGACAGGTGATGCTCCATGACAAAAAGAGCACAAATAAGAAATTATAATTTGGAATTAAACCTCCCAAAGGTTTGTATTCAGTACCTTTGTAATGAGTTTGTATAAATTTAATACTGTGTATTATTCTTGCCAGCATATTACAACAATTGGCAAAAATAAAACCGACCCCACCGAAAACAGTAGTAAATAACCACGACACAAACAGGAAAGAAACAGAAACGCCGGCCATGACATAGTTGAATCTATCCAGCTGTGATGTGTTCATTGTTGCCAAAGCATAACACTCTGTTATACCATTGACAGCAAGAAAGAGCACAGCGAGACAATGGGTTCTCATTAACAGTGGTCCAGGGCCCGTAATCAATGTTTGACCTCCATACAAGAAAAGTAACAGTTTTGAATAGGACTGGCCAAACACCAAAATAACTAAACCAAACGAAGAGATGCATCGTAACAAATGCTTCAGAACGTACACTGTTTCTGAAATATGCTTTTGATCTTGGGCTTGGACGGCAGTATCCCTTGCGACCATTTGAGAAAAATAAAAGTAAGACGATTCTTCGATCGGTCGGAAAATGAAGCGAGCAGCTAATGATCCCAAGTTATTCACAATGTCGTATACACCTTGTTCATAAAATGTCAGTACTGAAAAAAGAGTCATAACATATCTCTCCCCTTCAGTCAACACTTGCTTCAAAATTCCCTGCTTGAAGAAGCTCCACGTCAGTTTAGTTAGACTGTAGTCGATAATGGGTTGATTTTCTATTCTCATAGGCAAAAAATCCCTTAACGAACAAAAGGGAAAATCATCCTCAGAATTCATTCGATGGTTCTCGTTCTGACAGTGAAGACTACCTCTTTTGCATGACAAAAGATGTCTATTTCGATTGCCAATGTAAACATAAAAATATAAATAATAACTAAAAGTGTATACACATACTGACAACACCTGTGCAAGAGAAAAAGCTATTACAGCTTTGTCTGGACTGTATATTACCAGTGGTACAAATGTTACTGTCCGAACAATAACATATATTGTTTCTAGAACAATTTTAAGTCTCACAAATAGGAATGCTTGTGCAGTTAGATAGACTGGTTCACAACACATCTCTATTACACAGCTGATACATATTGCCCAGACACCCAAATTGTAATGAGGAGTAATGCTGGTATCTGGAGGTACCAGGATATGGAGCCACACATAGCCAAAAAACATACTTAATACTTGACATAGTGGAACAGTAAACCACAGTAAGTTTATAACTTGTCTCCAGCTGTGCTCTGAAGTTTTACTTAAGCATGCCCTCCGGAAAGCTTCACGACTGAGAAACAAAATTGTTGATTCAAGTAACAATAATCTCACATTCATTACTCCAATGACATCCTGGCTCACGTACCGCAATACAAAAGCATTTAAGAAGAATGTAATGCATCTGAACAATACTTGAAATATTATATTAAATGTAGCATTTTGGAGACTGCTTTTAAGGTAATTCTTGGCCATTTTTCAATTCCTTTAATGCCAATTCGCTCAAAATTAAATAATTTTTACCCTGAAGTTTGCAAATTGTAATATATTTCTTTTTTTAATATCTGCGAGCACTAAAGTCCTTAATTACTATATTAGTCAAACAGGTGAACTGACTTTATTATTCGAGATATTATAAAACTAGCCCAGCATGTAGATTACATCACATTAAGTTTTCCGTAATTTATAAATATGTTGCATGGCAAGTTAGGCTAAAGTCTTTGCAAAATGACAGAGTGGTGTACAAGACAAAGTGTGGTAAATAATATAGTATGTACATAAATAATAAACAAGTTACAGGAATTATGAGCAGGTAAGCTTAAATTACTGTACTTAAACATTACTTCTGATGATGTACAACTCTATCAAAATATTTTGGTTCTAATATTCCAGTATCATTACCAGGGCTCAAAATCACGTTGTTGGCTGAGCGGTAGAACTTAATTCCATCTGGAAAGAAAAAAGACAATAAAAGTACTCAGCAGAACTGAGTTTACATAATATAAAATCATTATTTTTTCTAATAAAACATAATGGATTTCATTTCAACAAGTATTCCCTGTTCATCATTATGCTTCAAATAGTAAATCTTTGGTTCTTTACAGAATAAACTTGTAAATAACATTGTGAAATTTTCTTGTTTTCCAATCTGTTCCATACCAATTAAAAATAACAGTTTTCTTTAACATTTATTTTTTGTTAACAAAAGAATTTTTAGCAAAGTTTGAAGCTGCAGATTTAAAAAAAGATAAGTGTATGAATGACCCATGAATTAAATAAAATATAATTTATAGTAACACCAGACACAAATATAAATTTCCTTCCCCTCACTGTGGACTAGGGATAAATTAAAAATTTTCCAAGTTTTTCAGTAAAAATTTTTTGTATGGAAATTGAACTTCAGAGAGATCTTCTGAATGTTCTAAACAAGTATTGTTCCCTACTTAAAGTGATGCAATTTTGATTATTCTAAATTGAGCAACAGAAATTACACATTGTAGGGTGGATATTAAAATTGGTGAACTCAGTTGTGGGAAAATGATCATACACTGTTACAAATTATGTATTTATCTCCAAAATTTGCACTTTTCACTCCTTTTTTTCTTCTACAGATATTTCGCATTCATTCATTTATTACAGACACAAGATATAGAACACTTATTGCATGTACATTATACAAAATAACTCATTCCAATGATGGGTTTCAGCCACCCTGAACACAAGAAAATTTCACCATTGCCGTATCTAGGTTGTTCAATTTAAAAGACAGAAAGAATTTTTCTGCAAGAACAATTATCATTATTGTGTATTGTGCAGGTTACAAATTAAAGACTTGCATTTTTGTTTTACAATATAATAATTACATTTATAACAAACATTCTTACACCCACCAGTATGCCGCTTACTTTCATACAACAGATATAGAATAGGGGCGGATTTTAATGAAATGTCATTTTCTTTTCTTTTCTCTATAGAACAAGGCCTTTTGTAGACATTGATTTTGTTATTATTTTGGCATTACAAAATGACACTTTTATATGTGACATTTGTTTTGCATTGTTCTTCGATTTTGTCTAATAAGTCATTTTTAAAGCATGTTTCACAAATTTCAATTTTAATTTAATTCTATTTACTTCAAATAATATTTACAAGATGCAACAAATGTTCTCCACAGAATTCCTGAGTAGCCTATTTGATTTCTTTGCTCAGCTGAGATCACTTGGACAAAACAAAAAAGCCTTGATTCCATCAGTTAACCTACCCAACAGCTTGAGTTGTTCATGAAATGGTTTGGATCAATTTTTTACATCATTTTTCTTTGCTTTTCGAACATTTTAAAAACATTTTAATAGCATTTCATTGATCATTTTTGGTGATGATTAGGTCATCAAAATCCACCCCTACTTATGATTATACCTTGACAATCAACAAGTGAAGTTATTACAGAATTGAATATAGAACACAAATTAACTTCTCATCAGAACTAAAACGATACTGTTATTGTTTATGTCTTTATTGAAAAACAATATCATTGTTAGAATTAAAAACAAAACTTCCGTCTTTACCTAAAACTTTGTCTACTTTTCTTTTATTATACTATTATATACCTATCACATACCTCTTGCTCAAAAGACAAGATATTCATATAGATACTAAGCCTTAAAGCATCACTCACTGACTTCCCTGAAGGGACTTATCTGTACTGTAATCTAGTTTGCAGGTGTTGTTATATAACAATATTGCTGCAATGCAACAGTGAGTAAGATGTCATTATTATACACTCATTTAAAAAAGTCGTCAAAGATGCATCCCTAATGAATGTTTATGCGTCCCTTATTTCAATCAGTCCCAATCATAGGTGCAACAAAAATATGAAAAGAAATAGTTCGAATTTTTACAAGATTTTATTCTTAATGGGAAAATTTTGCCACAGAGGGTGAGCCTAGGCTATGCCATTGACTCATTCTATATGGATGAGAAAAGTACGTTTTCTTAAAGAATGTTGACAAAAAAAGGAAGTGAATTATTCAAGAATTTGATTTGTCATATGTTACATTATGTTGTTCTGTCATTAAATTAAATAGTTTTATTTCCTTTTGTTCCCTTTCTTTTGATTATTAGACAAAAAATGAATTGATGTAATCTTTAAGTTTATGTTACAAGGATGTAGATATTTAAGCAATAACATTTGATAGTAACATGTTTGTTAATACAATAAAAAAGTAACATAAATGATACTAAAAAATATTTGGTTATTAACAGAAATCTAGAATCCCTTCCAAAAAAGACCGGCAGGATCTGCCCCTGAAGAAACCATTCAGACGGATACATTAAAACATATTGTACTCGAGAAAGGGTGGAAACTTTAGCAACCTGATTTGAGACATCCACACACCTAGTGTTTACATTAAACAAAAGTGATCAGTTTATAATAACATAAATTCTGTTTCTTTAACATCATTTCCCAGAATAAATTATTGTGATCCTAACACAATAGTACGATCTATTTAGTCGTGCACTTTAGCTGCTGTCACGATGGGGGATCTTCAAGCTCCCGACTGGATGAAATCATGAACAGCTGATTTACGTCAAGTGCACGGTAACACAAATCCTAGAGTATACTCCATTTTACCAATTGTTGTTTGAATGTAAATAAAATACTCTAGTAATTATCATCAGGAAAAGATTGGCCAAAATCTCTGAAGAATTTCTTTAAAAATTAGCAAAGAATCAAATGCTTGGTAATATTTTGTGCTTCCGGTATTAAGTGGCAGAACCAAAACTGTGTTATTACTAGAACTCGGAATTTTAGGCACCATAGGTAACAACTGTAATGATTTAGGCACTATTAGGCATGAAAAGTGGCGTTTTTCGCTTAAAATATGTTACAAAATTACTAAACCAGGCATTTAAAATATTATATAAGACAAGTTATGTTTCTGGTATATAAAACTGTTCACAAAAGGATTATATTAGGCACTTTTTATTATTCAGAAAAGTAAATTATTTTTACATATACAAGACTGACTATAAGCATATTATTTTATTCTCTTTCATTTCTTTCATTCTTTCACATTCTCAACCTGTCAACAGTCCAGCTGCACCAAGAATGGGGAATGGCCTAAGAAGTGCATTCTGATTGGAGACGAGTATGCCTTACTTGCTGAGATCCTTACGTGCGGGGTGTTCAGTGAGAGATTTTGGTACATAGTGAATTGCATATTTGATCAGGGAACGTTTGTGATTTGGGAAATTTAGATATTTGAGAAAAAATATTAAAATAAATATCCAGCACCATTTTAGGCGCTATTAGAAGCTTTTAGTAGATACATTTTCTCATGATTTGGGAATATCTGCAATTATTTTCCACCATCTCCTAAAGGAACTAAATAGGAATTTGTCCTAAAATCCAAGGTCTAGTTATTATCTTTCACACTGTGCTAATGAGAATTCTTTTGTTCTACTATAAATTCCAGCTTACTGCACAGAACAATTGTCTCTTCCATGTAAGATCAACAAAAACACCAACCTTTCAGAGCATCTGCAACTTTGATGTATATGTAGGTATCGCAATCACCACGAATGCCACTGATGACCTGAGGTTCCCCTGGTTCTCCTGGAGCAAAGTGGATGTGGAGGCGGTTCATACAACTTAGGCCGTTCCGCTTAATACTGTCCCAATTCCGTGAATATGTGCCATGAACCACTACTGGCGCTTCTGATGCATCTAGGATGGGCTGAAGGCTTGTGTCATTCACAATCTGCAATGGCACTGTATTTTAGGAAGATTCACACATTTTGTAATCTTAAATGGTTCATAATTCTTTATTTATTTCAATGTCTTTGAAAGAGGATAATACAAATTGGTCAATTTGCAGAAATATTGTATTGAAAAAAAAATTAAACCAAGTACCTTCATAGAGTGCCCCTGATTGGCTTTTATCAATAAGTCTCCAGTTTGTGGATGGACTGTAAGAGTGAATCGTTTCTTATTATTTTCCTCAACCACACGCTCGATGTCTTGAAGGGTGTATTTGTGTTTCAGAGAGCTATGCTTTAGAATTTCGGACACTGAAATAAACCCATCCTCAGTAATTGGAACGCCTTCTTTTACTGCACCGTGTCGCAAAAGCCACGACAGCGTTTTGCTGAGATGCACGTCTCGTCCTCTCTCTCTTGTCACCCCCTATAAAAGAAAAAGAATGATTGATACGTGTTACTACATCATAAGTCCACGAAAAATTGAGGTTATGCTTCAAAAAGAAAACACTTGTCGATAATCACTTGCATTACTGAATTCCCAGAGAATGACAGATCTGTGGCCATCGTTTAAGATATAATTCTAATGGTTGTATTGCATTATATGTGCACGAAAACGACAAAAATAAATACATTTGTGCGAAATTTCTTAAAATAAAACCGTCATGTAGTAGTGTGTTGCAAGGGCTTTGTTCTTGCGTTTGCCAGACGCAAGTCAAATGACAATCTGGGTATTTATCTTTTTTTATGATACTCAATACTGTAACATAAAACGTGCCTGACAATATTAAACTTGTCCCTGAAATACGATGCCGATCACATGCGTTCCCCAAGGTCGATTTCGTGTCTCACCGTTGACATAACAAGCTATTTACGTCATGGAGCGTTTCTGTATTACTGGACACGACCCAGATCTTTATCATAGACCAACATTGAGAGATAAAACGATTCCGTGATTAACTTTCCAGGACTGTCACTCTGGCATAAACAAATCACACCATATCAGATTTTCTCTTCCTTCTCCTCCTTCCTGCTTCCCCCCTTCCCCCTTCACCGACCACCCAGCTGCCACCCAAACCACCATTGAAACAAAAGACTGACGTCGTGTGCGGATTCTCCAGTAGTGTCCTATGGTGGGGGTTGAGTGTCCTGGTTCAGCCCTCAATCAGTATTGTTTTCCGGAGTATATCGTGCGTTAAGGTATTAATTGTCAGAGTATGGTAATAAATTGAATACAAGTAAGCACAATGCCGCTTTATGAAGGAATCGGGTTGGGAACTGAGAAGCAACCTGTCGTCATAGACATTGGTACAGCGTATACAAAGTAGGTGTTGCATCAGGAAACCTCTTTGTTCCCGACAGTGTCAAGACTTGTGATTAGAAGCTTTCGTCATGGTTCCAATTGGATATCCTGTTGCAGATTTGGTTTCGCTGGCGAAACTGGCCCAAGATGTATAATTTCAACAGAAGTAATGTGTCAAGAATCCGGTAGGATAAAAAAAATTTTCTCGTACTCCAATGAAGAGGAACTCTACAGTCTTCTAGTTGAATTTATTCACAATTTATATTTTAGGTGAGTTGTCATGTAGAGAATTGTGTCAGAATTTAATAAACTGAACTGTAAAAAGATATAAACAAGATGTGAACATTAATCCTTATTGTTAAAGGCATTTGTTGGTGAGTCCAAAAGATAGAAGAGTTGTCATAGTCGAATCTCTGCTATGTCCCAGTGTATTTAGAGATACTTTGGCAAAAGTACTATTTCGACATTTTGAGGTAAGTTTAATTGCATATTTAAGATTTATGTTTTGCGAGATACTAAATCGCCCATGAATAAAAAGTTCTCAATTAATTAATATTTTCTGTTAAGTATTGTGTGCAATTTAAGTTAAGACAATTTAAAATGGTTATTTTAAAGTTTACTGTAAATATGACAATGGACATTTTTCTTCAGAATCAAGTTTTACATTAACTGGAATTTATCAGCAAGTCTAGTGATTATATTTTGGAACTTTTATATTGGCAAAACACAAATATAGATATGATAAGTGCAATGCAAGACTGTCTGTTTTATTGTCAATTGAAGGAAATAGTCTCTGTTGTCAATTGCATCTTTCTTTGATAAAACAAAATTGGTTTAACTGTTGCATATCTAAAAATATAAGACACGTCAGGGAATGGAGAAATTAATGAAGACTTAATTGGCTCAGCTTAACATCAGCTTTACCTTTTACTCCTCTTGTGGGGTGTACAAGAAGAGTGGAGAGGGCAGAAACGTAACTGCATGTGCTTTTTGACAAAAAATGCAATGGTAACCTCTGGCCAGAGTATAAGTTGTATAATTATATAAGTTGCTGGAGGCAGAGGTCTGAGCTTCAGCATTGACCTGGAACTGTGCAAGCCAAGTGAATTGGCTGCAAAAATCTTTGTGATAAAAGTGCATTGAAAATATGCAATTTTCAGGATTAAGTTTATTTCCTGTTAACTTCATGTCAAATTATTGTTGAACGAGTTAGATATGGTTTATTAAGTCCTTAGTACAATCATTTTCACTCTATAAAAACATTTTTTTGTCAATTGGCATGTGACGTATTTCAGAGGTTATTCCGTTGTTGTCTCTCACTCGTTTCACCTAAAATTGGTGGTTCTTAAATTGATTAATGTTTAGCCTCAAGAGTTTGTGATAGTTTGTAGGGAAACAATGTGTATGAGAAGAATTCAAGAAGAAAGTAACCATTGAACTGAAAAGCCCAACAAACCCTGGATTTTCTATTATTTTTGTAAAGTCAAAACACTTTGTTTACTTTACTAAGACCGAGGATTTAAATCTTAATTAGTAGATATTCACTAATAAAATTTTTAAGAATACAATTAGTAAATACAAAATACTTTTTGAATAAGTTAAAATTGCCTTAATTTATTAATGTAAAAACAATATTGCAAACATGATCTTCAGAAAAATTTATCATGAGGTACATATCAGGGATATAGCATAGCCAACAAAACATGGCTAATAACACTTTATCCCCAAATAATAGATCTTTTTCAAACTGTTTTAGTGATATATATTATACAATTAATGGTGGCACAATCGGGCTAATTTAATTTAATAGTCTGTTTTTGTTAATTTGCAATTACATTTCACTGCCAAAAGGAAGTCAGAAATATGATAAGAGCAATTAAAGAACTTTTATAGTTGGAATAATTAATACAAAAGTGAAATTTTTTATAAAAATTATTTTAATTTATCTAGTACTGAGTCCACAGGTGAATCCATTGATGGACTTGTTTGTTTAACAGTTTGTTACAACAGCATTACCGAATAATGGAGTAAAAATACTCTTAATGCTCTCTCACACAAAATGAATATTGGAGAGATTGATAGTTTATGGAATATTCTATTTATTATTAGATAACATGCAAAACTGTATTCAAATTGCTTGAACGGAGGAGGGAATTCATTTATTTTGTCGTCCGAATTATGACCTTGGCGATTACTTAATGCCTATACTGTGATTTTCACAACTCGGCCCCTGACAAGTATCAGCTGTTGACAGTTTCATCCAATCGGATGAAACCGTTAACAGCTGATACCTGCCAGGGGCAGAGTTGCATAAATTGCAGTATAACCACTAAACAACCCTATGCCACTGTTGAGCTAAAAAAACCAGAAAAGTTGTATGTTCTGTCAGTAGGCCACTTCCAAATGCTGTTTGGTTACCATTAGTTTGGCAGTGGACAATGCTACCCATTTTATTTGATTGAAAAGAAAACTTGCAGAATGTAAAATTTCTTCCTCGTCTTCAAACTTTCCATCCTTGATCACAGGTCTGAAACAAATTTTTAAATTTCAATCTGATATTTAAAAATTTTGACTGGTTGTTTTTGTTGCATTCAAGCAAAAATATTAATTTTGGAAATCCTTGAGATTGATAACGTATCCCTAGTATCTTAAACTTTCAAGGAATTGCCAGGGGCTGGCATCATTGGCCAAATTTCTTAACTGCGCTCTGTGAAGTCATGGAAATTAAGAAATTCGAGACACCATGGATTCGTGGTTGGGTGACCGTCTGGGAATCCTGTTTACTAAGGACGCTGAGCTCCTGGGCGAAGGGATAAAAGGCACTGACTGACTGTGATGTGACGAGAGAAAAAGACAAAATTAGTTAACAGGGGATTACTTCACATATGCTCAATGTCCAAGATGAGCTAAGAGACATGCTGTGAATGAAAGGGTACAATCTTGAAAAAAATTTTGAAGTAGTATTAGTCTCATTGTAATAGGGCCTGTGAAATGATATTTTACAAGAAAAAAGTTGTATAGAATATCAGTTATATTGGGAATAGTCACTGGTATAGTAATCAAGTAACCTGCGTGTGTCTGGCACTCATGGTTACGTCGCTTGTGGGCAACCATTTAAACAAGTGAGGTGTGGTGTCCAAGAGTCTTGGTCTACATGCCATTTTTTTTATTATCTTTGTGATCTAAATAAAATGCTTCAAATGTCTATAAATTAAATTGGAGAGTCTGTCTATGATTTCAAAATAATTGCCTTTTTATAATTTCATATGGTCATTTTCATGATTTTAAAATCCCTTTTATTTGTATTTAGAATTTTATTATGCCTTTTAAGTAATCTCTGAAATAGCAAACAATTTTTGATGGAGTTTTCATTAAAAGTTAGTTTTTTGGGAGTGGATATTCATTTTGGGTAAGTTTTTAAGATCTTCATTTTCTATTATTTAAAGAATAATGTATATTTTTGATTTTATTTGAAAAAAAATCTACAGTTTTGATTTGAAATTTTGCATGTACTATCCTCAACAAAAACAGAAACGGTACTGTCAATAGGAGCTTTTTTAAAAACTACCTTCATTCTCCTTTCCTAACATTTAAAACAAAATATAAGTGTGCTATCTTAATGGCAGGGCAGAGCAAGGTTGGACTAGGTGGGATATGGACAGGACATATCAGGTGGGATGGGGCAAGGGAGAGCAGAGGGGGTCAGGATTCAGCATAGAATTCATTCTGTTTCCTTTCTAATGGATAAAGAAATGGTGACCACATTCTTGAAAACTGGGAAAAAAATCAGAGAGCTGACAGTATTTTCAGAATTGCTGTAATATTTTTGTTAGTGAGAAATACTGTATAAGCATTATCAGTAAATTTTTTTAAAATTCTCTGGAGAACAGAAAATGTCGGGGAAATTTGTTTCAGGAAATGAGTGTCTACCATGATGGCAACATGTGATACCTTAGCTAGTTAAATAAAAGTTAAAATACTTCTAAAAGTGTTAGAGTTGCCGCAAGCTATGTAGTTTGTATAATATGCTATATTCAATTTCCTGTTTTACAAACAAATCTCTGCACCGTGTGTATTTGCAGGTTTCATCTGTGTTGTTTGTGCCCTCTCATCTTGTGGCCCTATGCACCCTGGGTGTGAGCACAGCTCTGGTGTTGGATGTTGGGTACCAAGAAGCAGTCCTCATCCCGGTGTATGAGGGCGTGCCCGTCCTACATGCCTGGCAGGCACAGCCATTGGCATCACAAGCTGTGGAAAGGTGAGGTGCTTTCAGTATTCTAATTTTACCTGATAAGGGTTCATTTATAAATTACTCACCGGGAGAGATGGCTCAAGATATCAACTGATGTCACTGCAGTTCTTCTGACTGGGAGGTCATAGGTTCAAGTCCTGATGATGGCAGGATTTTCGGCACCAGCTCGTCAATCAGGCTGAATTAAGTCACTGACTGGAGGACAATTCTAGCGGCCAGCTGCTCTTATCGGTAGTTTTCTGTGGTTTCTCCAATTAAAAACGGACAAATGCCGGAACAGTACCCAAACAAACAGGCCACAGACGGCGCACAATCTTTCTTACCTCTTGCTTGTCCTATCCTTGCCCTTTACACACACACTACCACACATGCTGGGTGACTGGTCGGGAGCTTAGAGCTTGTCCTGGCTAGGGCGGTGCCCTGATGGTGGGAGATACCTGGCTGGGGAAAACCCTGTTAGCCGATGGTAAGTCGGTGCCAAATCTTGGCCACCAGCAGGCATGATCACTGCCACCTCATAAGGAGAAAACGTGCCCTACACGTATGAGACTAATGGCCTCGGTAATTGACGAGCCTGGAGCCACTAGCAACCAACCAACCATAAATTACATAACACTAAAAAGGGGGAAGGGGCTTTGAGGCAGCGTTATCCATTTAATTTGGCACAGTACTCTCTCTCGTGTCCACTACTGCTTGTTATCAAAACTTTTCTTGCTTAATCACTCTTCCTTCATTCACAATTTGCCCCCAATCTTGTTAAGTGCATTCATATCACCAACTAATTTCTACTTCATTATTATTTTTAATATACAACACAAGTAAAATGAATACAAATTGTTTTTACTGTGCTATAATTTATTTTCACTTACATTTACAAATGGGGGGGTAAGCATTACGTAATTATTTAGGGTCTTTCAAGCACGTTACGGGGGAGAGGTTTTTTTTTTTTTAATTCTCCAAATTTGTGAAACGTAATTTATAGACAGCTCCTAAATTCTGAAGGAGGATGAAAGATCGATAATACTGTCCAATAAGCAATGTCTCCTGGGTAGTTCAGTCAACTGTTTATTTTCTGGCTACTCATTGAAAACTACCCCTTTTTTGAATAATGAAAGTGGTAGTAAAAATACCTTGCGTTACTAGTTGGGATAACGTGACTCCAACCATTTCCTTTGTAAATTCCATTTAAATTCATAAGAAGGCCAGAGGATGTTGAAAGAAAAAGAAATGTTATACAGCCCATGAGGAGAGTGAGCATTCAATATTCTTGTTTATGATTACTGATTTTATTAGATGATCATTTTATTAGAGCTATTGACATGTTATTTGTTTTTGTGTTATTTAATGGTTCATACACATTAAAAAAAATTACATGTGTGGAATATTTGAAAAACGGTAATGTTTCATCAAAATAGTATTCTTATCATGTGATTCATTGTTTTGGCTCTATCCATACAAAAAGTTTGAAGTAAAAGTTTGCCAAGTCCAGTTTGGAATCACATTTCTAGAATTGTTGGAATCCACAGGGAGAATTGCATTCTCTTTGCAATTGACAATACCATTTTGAAATAACAATTACGGTGTGTGGAAGGACCAAAAGGGCAAAGGGGGACAAGTGGGACTAAGCTGGGAGGGTAGAGGTTAATTTTAGCTGGGAGGGTAGTTAATTTTGAGGGTAGAGATTCTTTCTTAATGTAATCTATTTAAAGACCTTGTAGTCACGAGGTCTTTGAATAATTTGATGTACATTTGTTCAAAATATTAATAGCTTACATGTAATTTTGAGTTTCATCATTTCCAATTTTCAAATAGGTGGCTGGATCAGGTGAAATAGGCTGAAATGTTAGTAGTATAGAAGATAGTGTAATATTACAAAACCATTACCGATATGTACACACTGAGAAAGTATGTACTGTTTTAGCACCACTCATTTCATTTTCAGACAGGACCATTGACTCTAATGGCCACAGATTGATTCTAATGTGGCAGTTTTTTTTTCTCCTTTTAATATATGTTATTTATGATAATATTTGTCTTTCTTTAATGTATTGGTGATGTGATCTGTTCAGCAATCTGAGAAGAAGACTAGCAGGCCCAGAGGAGGAGGAGTTATCACCTCACAGTAGGATCTCTGAGTCAACCATAGAAGACATCAAAGGTAAGTGCATTGCCTCTCCTTTGTGGTATTATTTCATACTATAAGAATTTCAAGTTCTCAAGGTATGAAATAAATTCTCTTGCTTTTCTCATGATCAGTTTTTAATACAAATCTTGTTTTGATAGACAAAGAGAGAATATTTGTGTAAAGAACTAAGCCCATATCCCTGATGTTTCAATTTTTCATAATTCCATGCTCAGGACCCCTGTATTCCTTGACTTCTTTCATCTTTGGTGTTATCAGGGCTTCCCATAACTTACAAATTGCAATATTTGCTTCAACATATTCACAGATCCTTAAAAAAAACTGAGAAATAGATCAATGGCAGAGCAGTTGATTTTGATGTTTCATTATTTTTCTGGGTGGTTTGGAAACAAAAAGTCATGCATTAAAGGAAACGTTAGCCTTTAATATCATACCACTCACATAATTGGAAATCCAATCTTCCTTTCATGGGACATATTTTGTTATTTATATACAATCAGCAATGATGGCTGATACATTTCATACCAGATTGACTCTGCCATTGGCTTGGCAATGGGGATGTGTTGTCGGTCAGAACCAAAGTGTATTTCCTCTCCTCTTGTAGGAGTTGCCACTGCAGTTGGTTCTCACAAACTGTAAAAGTTTGCAACAATATTCACAAAATGTTTCCATCATAAGTATTTCTCTTCAGAACATTTATAATTTTATACTTTATAAAAATAGGTGATATAAAATTATTTTTTCTTGTAAACAAAGAGAGCTCCTCTTTCAAGTTCCAGCAGGATATATAACATTGAATTGCTTGTGGGCAGTTCAAAAATTTCAGGGCCAGCAAAATGTTCTTGAAAGTTTTTGACATTAGCATTCATAAGTACAAACCACAACTTTTATGGATTCTAGATGATACCTGGTAATTAAGTGTATTGCCTCGATAATTGCTACACAACTTTTTCTTTTACTGTCATGGTTGGGTTTGGAACGGAAGTCAAATGGCAAGGGTTAGAAGAAAGCTCTGTCAATGTGACCAGAAAAGATATATAAGTGTGAAAGAGATCCAGAGTACTATTCAATAGGAAGGAGAATTTAAAGAGGAAACAAAAATTACGGATCAGAAATTCATGATTCTGATGCTCTATCTGGGATCTTGGAATTCAGCCAACAGTACTAATTAGAAGAGGTATTGCAGAGAGCGGGTGGCATGCAATGGAGAGAAGACATCCAGGGTGGCTATGTTTTGTCAATAATAAAAAAGGAACAAAATGACATTTTTGTCTCCTGGAATGTTGTTTAAGTTTTGCTTCTTCAGAACCCTCTGCCCTGCTTTTATAATTGTTGTTCTACATACAATTGCCTTCCAAAAATGTCAATTAAATTTTTCTGCACAGTTCGAACTTGTTTTGTGACGAGTTTTGAAAGAGCTCATAAAATAACTGCTGGCCAGCCTGATCCACCACCTCCCTCTGTGAGCTACCAGGCAGACGGAAGCAGCACAGTGGACGTGCCTGGCTCAGCAAGAGAAACAGCCTACGAAATTCTTTTTGAACAAGATGGCGACGAGATGTCTGTGTCCACTATGGTTCTTGATGCCATCCTCAAGGTGTGCAACGCAACTTGCTTACAGGGTTCATTTTGTTGAGTCATATCTATAATATACTTTATCGTAGAATTACTACCAAATTAACTTTGAGTTTCTAGCACACTTATTTTAAACTCTTATTCTTTTTTATGAACCAATTTCTCTCTGTCTAGGTTCTCCTGAAAGGTTTTCCTGATAGTATAAAAATAAATTCAGAATTGTTCATGATAGTATTGCTTCTATTTTCTTTTGACATTATTAACCATTTGCACTTCTATGTTGAGTCACATACAATATATTTTTAATCTGTTTTGGGCTTCTGAGTCATGTGAAGCTCAACAGGCTGCACAGTTGTGAAGTAGACAATTAGAATACATATTATCATATTCATTGTTGTGTAATTTCAGCTTGTTGAATTGTTTATTAGACTGTGTGTATTCTTTTGGCTTACTATTTCTATATTGGATGTCATGTAATGTAAACTAGATAGATGCCTTCCCCCACAAGTGATAACTCAGTGGCGAAGCCATCATTATGGCAAATGAGAAACTGTAGTTAGATTTCTGGCTGCCCCTGAATTTTTGTTGATTACACAGGAAGTCATCCAACAGAGAACAATGAGTGCAAACAATGCAAGTCTGTAAATGTATATTGCTGTGTCATGTCAGGAAGTTCAACAAATTATCAGACTATTAACATTAAAAGTGTGTTAATATGGCACAAACCTATTTTAGTTGTTTCTTTTATCCAGAATGGCTTATATTCTCTGTCCCAAACTGAGAAACTGCTGATGCATTGAGAGAATGCCATAGCAGTGTGCCAGTATGATTTGAATATAGAACCGGCGGGAACGCAGTGCCTGAAGAATTAATCGCAAAGGGTTAAATTTTTGAGAATATGTAAAAAGTATTTATTTAATACTGTAGAATTGTATGTGTTTTTCATGTGTGTGCAACAATCACATTCATGGGAGTTGAGTTAGCTAGGGCTTATAAATTTGCATGATCATTCTTATATTTATCACAGTAGCTTAAGCTCATATTGCCAAGATCTGACTTTCACATTTCCAATGCTAATTACTATTGCTTCAGTAGATTTTCATTATTCTTAGTTATTATCTGCCAAGAGGCACGAGCTATAAGACGTGTTTGAGTCACTTATAACAAAGCTCTGAAGTACTAATACAGGTTTTGTTAGTTTCCGTTTCATTTCACTCAAAGAAAAAAATTAGTGAGTGCTCAGTGTACTTGCATCACATCACATTACATTGTTTTGTAGCTACTGGTTGTATCAATTGCCTGTTTGTATGTTTCAGTGTCCTGTGGACATGAGAAAGGATTTGGCTGAAAACATCCTGCTCATGGGGGGCACAACGATGGCGACAGGCTTTAAAGCTCGCCTCATGTCAGAGTTGAAGTACCTAGTTACAACACCAAAGTATGCCAAGCATCTTGCCATAAAAGTATTCAAAGTACACAAACCTCCAGCAAAGGAAAACTACGTTGCTTGGCTAGGAGGTAAGGAAAATTACATATAGAACATTGTGGAAATATTGACGCAATTTGCAGATAAAATAAGGTCACCTTGGTCAACATAAATTTTTTGGGTTTTATTTTGGGATAGTAGACTTTAAAGAGACAGTGTACAGGAGGAAGGTTTAGAAAGATGTAGAAATAATATTTACTTGGATTGGGGCTCACTGGGGAACAAGGCAGGTCAGTTTTCTTGGAAATGTTTCGAAAGGTGTTAGTCGCTGGAGTTCGGTGTGTGCCCCATTGTTGCCACAGGGTATTCAGAAAGTTGGTTTGATCCAATGCTAGAATGTCAGATTTCTGAACAGATTAGAATGTCAGAAAATTTTCTAATGCTCTACCTGTTCCAAAATTTATTCTCTATTTAAAGAATTTGATGTCAGGGTGTAAAGTGTGATTGAGATGTCTTAAAGCATGATTTGGTCACCTATATGTTCTTTTATTTTTTATAATTTATATTTATTTCATCTGAAAATGAGAACACCTATTTTTTAGATTATTAGGTTTCCCAGAAGGCCAAAAAATTAACAAATAATATAGAAAGAGGTGTTGTAACTCTACTTTTGATATTTCAGAACAATATTATTTACCTTCAGGTTCACCTTTGAATTATCACAGCTTCCAATTTTTTTTTTCTGCATCCTCTTTAGATGTGGTATCATTGTGGATGATTCCTCATACTGAGAGGACAAAGTGTAAAATGTTATAGTGTTGTTTACCTCGAGTTAAAGTAAAGATTCCACCATAGTTAACAGAATTGTGTTACAACCTGAAACAAGATTGGCAAGTAGTGGAAGAATTTATTAGTAAATAGTGGTGACACATTTTTCAAAGTACACAGCTCTTTTGCAAGTAATCTCTTATCTTTCAATGTTTTCTAGGCCCTAAAATTTCTTCATTTGATAAGGCTGTGACTAAAGATCCTGTTTCACCACATTCCCTCAGTCAAAATGGACAGGAAGTGAATGAATGAGACTTATCACTTGTTTAGTTTTGGTTTCTCAATCTTTTCTTGGATATTCTGCTCCCACGTAAACGTAAATAAGTTGATGAATAGACTCTTCTGTTTTATATTTATAGACTGTTATTTGACTGTAATATTGGCTCAACATCTTCAACTTTTTTTTTTACTTCAACTAAAAGAATATTGGAAAATGGATCTCTCTCAAAGTATCTTCCTTTATAACAGAGTACTTTGGATAAAGAAAGAATTAATCTTCAAGGAATATTTAAAAAAATGACTGTTCTATATTTTTATTTATTTACTTCTAGGATATTCCTTTTTTATACATAGTGTACATTGCCCATAAGATAGTGTAGAGTAAAATAATACAAAAGGAAAGAAGAGAAAAATGAAGTTGACATTAAAAAAAAATACACAGAAAGATAAGATTGTACATCATTCTCTATTCCCACCAAGATTTGAAATTGCAAAAATAGTTTGTCCAATCCCAATCAGCTTGTGTTTTCGGCAAATGTTCGCTCCCTTTGACCTAAAGACCAACTTGCGGTTGTTAGGGCGAATACTGAATGTTCGGCGATCAGTGAATCGCAAGCAACCCATCAAATAGAACAGAAAATCAAAAAGTTGTTTTTCTCATCATTGTGAAAGATTATTTCCGTCTTTTTTCCTTCATTTTATTTTGCAAAGATTTCACTTAAACATTTTACAAAGATTTTAGATTTCTGCAGTGGTAAAGTTTAATTTTTGTTGCAATAAAAACTCTGTTATATACTACATCAAACGCTTGACAATCAAAAATAAAAAAATCAAATTTTTAAGAACAATAAATAAAAGTTAAAACGTATGCATGACTTCTCGCTGAAGTGAAATAGTCATGCTTCCTGAAGAGTTAAAATAATTGCATGTATCTGACACATGTCAGGCAAGTGGAAACCCACATAAGTAGTTTATAAAGGTCTTCCCTCTTTTCAGAATAGTGAAATGTAACCCAATAACTCTGTCTTCAGACATTCATTGAGTCTGTTGTCCACCAACAGTTTTCATAATTAGAATGCAGTACTGACATACCATAAGCCATTTCAATAGAACTGTAAAACTGTTAAAATTTGGTGAAGATCATCAGTTGTTCCTTTCTTTTGCTAAACAAGACCAAGACATTTATTGGTAGCTAGGGTGATATCGTAGTTGAATGAAGAGACATTAATTAATTCATGTGTTACTGCAGGTTCAATCTTTGGAGGCACAGATGTCATAGTGACCAGGTCACTGTCCAAAGAAGCCTACCTGAAGGAAAACAGGATTCCCGACTGGGCTAATCTGATGTATAACTGCCGTGAAGACGACAACAAATCTGCCAACTTGTGAGAGCCGATGCTTTCTTCACTGGCAGCTCTGTAATGCACTAATAACATCCTTCTTGTCTAGAGTTCTCGACTTATTTCTCTACTGCCTGTGCACAAATATATCGGCTTATGTATTTAATTGTAACTTGACCAAAGGTCAACAAAATGTATTTAATTCTGTGATATAAATAAAGATATTGTGAACATTTTTATTATTTACTTCCTAATCAATAAAGAATATGTATTGATTCCTACAGTTGTTTTTAAATGAGCCTCAATTCACATCACTTTTTAATGTTCTTGGGCAGTTGACTAAAAGTCTAGAAAGCTGTTTCACAAATTAACATTTGTTATTATAATAGAAATTGAAATACTTACTCGTACAAAATCCCCTCACAATTTTGAATTGTTACTTTTTAAACACAATTGGGATGTGTATAATATTCTTATCAAAAGGCAAAATAGAAATATATTCATAGTCATTGTATTTTTTAGATTAAAAAAAATAAATATTTTTGTTGAAATGTTTTAAAACAACCATGTTATGTTGAGCATGCACGCCATATTTATAAACAAGGAATCCAGAAAGCCCAAGAGAGACTTCAGTACAAGTACTAAGAGCATTCTTACACTACATCATGTGATTCAGATTTATTTACAGATTAACATTTAATTATATATTGCTTTTAGTTGATGGGTAAACTATGTTAATCATGGTATAGACAGAATAAATGTAGATAGATTTTTATATACATATATTTATGTGGAGTAACAGTATAGAAAAAGTTGTTTAATGCTGCAGAAAATCAATTTGGAGCTTTAGGAATACTATGAAGGTTATACTTCCTCGTATACATACATTTATATGGAGTAACATTAGTACAGAAAAAGTTGTTCAATGCTGCAGAAAATCATTTTGGAGATTTCAAGTTTTAGGGCCCTCTGGTCCCAAAGTGTTTTTCTTCAAAATGCCTGTTGTCTGTAAACATCACGTCTAAATTATGCATAGGATTTTTCCAAATTGAAAACTCCCTGGTCAATCTGGCCTTACTTGAAGCTCTGCGATTTTGAATGACCAATAATTTTTGGAAGTACTTTATATAGAGAGATACTTTCAAATTTTTTTCAAAAATTACAATTGAAATCTTTTTACCTCTTTCTGACATTGTTAATATTTACATTACCAGCAATTTGTATATGTTATCGCATTTCTGAGTACATGTGTCTTATAAAGTTTATAGTAGACTCAAAGGTGTTCTGTGAAAATTAGCTCAAAATTCCGCATTTTATGAAATGCTCACAGTTTTCTCAAAAACAGCTCCAAATGTTTTGAGCGAATAGTGCCATTCATATTTATATTACCAGCGATATGTATATGTTATTGGATTTACGTGTACAATTGCTTCAAATAATTTCTTGTGAATTTTCTTCAAAACGCTTCAGTTCTGGGTGAAAATGAGTTTCAAAATGCACTTTTTCAGATACTACTCAAACAGGATTTCCTCAAAAACAGCTCTAAATTTATAATCGAAATTTAAATTAAAAATTTCTATATTGGACAAAGTTTTTTAATCTTCTACAATTCTTAAAGTCAGATTTCAGTCCTACCATTGAGAATCTTTGCCATTCACCACTTGTATATTTATAATATACTGCAGGTTGCTAGGCGTGTCACCTGTTCCTGTTTCCTGGCAGATCAGGTCGGTTTCTAGACCTTCAAGTGTTCCTGGCTTTTTTTTTTATTTCAGAAGGAAAATGAAACAAACTTGATTATCAAGTTTTTATATTCATTTTTCCTAAGAAGATTTCAGTGCTAGTCTATTTTTGAATCAGTAAATAAATGGAAAATTCTTTACCAAACAAGGAATTGGAACGGAATGGGAAATATTTCTAAAATGCATAATTCACCTCTGACCGTAATATTTATTGCTTATTGGCAAGGCACAAAAGACCATCATTACCAAGGCAAGAGGTCAAAATTTCAATACATGAAGGATTCTAGAAGGAAGGCACACCTCTAAAAAAAAGAGGGATAGATATTTAACAAACAATGGTTATGTCAATAAATACTATAATAACATGAGTTAATGAAGAGATGCACAACTATTAAATACAACAGGATGTCAACAGATTGTAGTTTCAAATTCAGACAACTACACAAGACAAAAATTATGCAAAACCATTTACACTAACAGTTATGCACACCAAAAGGTTGTGAAACAGCTAGATTTTCACTGACACAAATATTTTCTTTTAACTCTTGTACAATCATACGGATGGAGAATCACTTTTTAACATTTATAAATGTATAAAAAAAAACAATCCACACCACCTTATAATCAAGAACCTCTGAATATAAAATGAGCTTTTATTACTAGGAAAGAGTTGTGATGTGTTAAAGAATTTGTAAAGTGTATACTTCACATTACAACCAAGAAATTGAATAAAAGCTTATTACATACAAGTGCACAAACAAATTTAACATCATTGAAGCAAATGTTGGTGCAGAATAATTTTTTTGGCCAACTGAAAAGATTTTCATTAATCATGTGAATGAAAAGTAATTAAAAGTATTCTTGATCTAAACTGAACAATACATTGTTTAAAAGGGAACTTGCCACTAACAGATACAAGATTTATCCTCACAGAAACTTATGAAAAGTTAAATATCTCGTTGAAGAATCAAATGGTGATTGCCAACATACTAGTATTGCAGGTATACTACAAATGTGCGACACTATATTCTTTAATGTTCTATTCAAATTGTTTCCTTAAATTCATTTCATTCCCATAAAATTAATCTCGAATGATTGATTACAAGAAACAAAATATTCATCAAGACTGATGAAAATTAAAAATATAACTGGAGGTACATATTTCTAATATGTACACACAATTCACATTAGAACATCATAAGTATAGTAGAACCTCCATTATCTAGAATCGATTTCATTTTGAAAATTATTACATGAATTAATTTAAAAAATATAAAATGCCTATGACAAGCTACTGAAACTTGCAACATTGAGATGATTACATTCATTTAATTAATTGTTTCATTCAGGAATTTTTTAGAAATGATCATAGGAAAGAAAGGAGAAAAGTAATAGCAATATTTCAAAGGAATAAACCTATTAATTCTGCCAATAAAATTGTAATATGATATGAGTAATTAATGTAGTTTGTGTATTTTTAACATATTTATATTTAATTTACCTTTTAATTATCACATTAAACCAATTAAATAATATTTTGATTTTTCAGGGATTTTGATTAACCTGATCTCTTGCCTGTCATTACCTGAGATAATGGATGTTTTACAAAACTTGGATTTAAAAAAATTAACAGAATTTTACATTTTTTACAAAACAACTGATCACAGAGCTTGAATATGAAACATTGTTCTGTTTTCATGCTTACACATTAACAATTTAATCCATCGTTGATCAAGCATCAGAAATTGACGTAACCTAAATTATTATTACACACATTTTCTTGAGCTCTCATTTCTCTAGATGCGAGGGGAGTGGGTGGGGGTTATTTCAATGACAAATATTGTTTCAAATCTGTAGCTTATTTTTATTTGCAAAATAATTTCTATTTCATGAGAGTGAACATTTCTGGTAATTTGATTTTGCCAATCACACTATCGATAACATTTTTTCTTAATTCAACTAATGTTAGCAAAGGAGTGCTGATAGGTATTCCGGGGCTCAAGAAAATATGCAAGTGTAATATCAAAATTACTCATCAACAACAGATAATCTGTCATGATATCTTATTTCCAGTTTACATTGTTCTTATTAAGATTTTCTTAAATGGCACAATGATGGTAATACACATCACTACAGTAAGAGTCATCGTACCTATTTCAAGTTGTGAGGACACGATATCCCTTTACAACCAGTAACAAAAAGAAAACAACAGATAACATTCAAACAGTATACTTCTCCCTTTCTTGAAATCTGTCAGCACATTAGCCCAGACACCACTTATCACAAAACCCCAGCTATAAGACACTATCTACAGCTCTTGTCTCAGTTAAAATTGGAATAACTAACAATCACACAAAAAAAGAAATCAGACAACTATGTTGGACCCTGCATGGTTTGACCATAAAAATCATTTTATATCACAATAATTTCATAAAATAGATGTACAAAATATGCCCTATATTTCAGTAAATCAGTTTGGAATCTCGAAACAGAAGGCTGAAACAGGAAGTGTGTGGATGGTATACACGAAACGAAAGTTGCTAAAGAGTGCTATTCCCTTTATAAAAATTATTTCCTTGTTTTTAAGCTGGGTATATCAAATATTTCAGACGAATTTACAACATCAACATGTATTTTCCAAAGTGACTGCACAATGATTAGAAAAGCTGTAATTTATATTAAGAGGATAAGGAGAAAATTCACAACTCAAAACAATATCTTATTCAATTGAGTTGGTATTTTATGTGGGTACAGGTACATTGGACCAAATCCTTATATTACAATTTTGTGAAGAAAATATAATAAATTAAGTACAACAAAGTATTTCAGAAACCTAAATATCAATGAAAAAACATTTATAAGTACACATTTGTGCATTGAAAGTATGAAGCAACTCATGTCTCTCAATTCTTAGAGTTATAAATAGCTTCCACAAATATGAGCTGCAGGTTTCAATCAAATTCATTTAACATTTTTTTTATTTATGGGAACATTTTCATCATCAAAGGAAAATAATCACCTGAATATTGATATTAACATCAAGGAATAATGAAAATTTTATGGGACCAAAAAAGACAAAAAATCTTCCAGTTACAAACATTCTCCACATTAACCATCACTCACACTGATCACTTTAACTTGTATATATGTTCCTAGTAAACCAAGCTACCTCCAAGTTAAACAAGCAATAATTTATACTACTTATTCAAAAAAATTTAAAAGATATGGAAATATTAGTTGCTGCACAAAATTATATTTTTACGCACTTTATACTTATGCACAAAATTATATTTTGTGATACTTGCCATACGTATGGCACTCCAGAACAATTATTACCACAAAGGATTCAATTGAAAAGTAACGCTTGTTATTACTAATTTCAGTCTGACAGATTTAACAGCAAAAGATAAGGACTAATTTTCAAATCAACAAGATTTAATTATGATATTAAGTAAAACCAAGAATACAGATATAAAAATATAAATTTCACTAGCATATAAATATTAAATGCTACAAAAATATAGTAAGAATACTTGCAAATAGAGATATTACAGTGCTCTAAATTGAAATGCAGTGTACTCCAAACTTGGCTACTTTTAAACTCTTTAAAAATAAAATTATATTTACTTGTAGTCACAAGGAACTTATTAATGCTGATTACAATTCTCGACTCTAATGAATATGATGCAACTAAAGAATTATATGTAATAAGAAAGTGTCTTCTCATTTGCAAATATTAATTACATTAATAATACAAAGAGATCTCTCTCTTACATTTCAATGGTGAATATTTGGGTGTTATCTTCATCAGCACTACACAGCCATCTTAAAAGCTTATTGAAGAGGAGTTACTTGTAGAAAGTTTATTTACGTATTTAATTAGGGTAAGGCAACAGATAGACTCCAATGAGCATTATTTATTTCATATCAAATATAGAAGTAAATTCACCAAAATAAATCTTCACTAGTAGCCACCGTCTCCATTTAAATAGAAAAATGTAGGGCATTAATAAAAGATGGATAAAGCCAGTGCCATATTCTGAAATAATTCAAATTCAACTGATTATCAAATAAATCTGAGTTTACTTTGCCCCATCATAATCGTACAAAAGTATCATCGAAAAATGGACCCTATTAAAATACTTGTACAGATTATTTGTGCTTACTCAAAAGAAAATTGCATACACTAAAATGTTCCCCATTGAAATTTGACTTTTGACAGAAATTTCTTCTCTGTTCATCATATTATTTTCCCTAATTCATATCTTCTATGAACACATAAACAAAACGAAATGAAAGAAAAAGAAAACAATTATAACAGGTACTTAATAGAATCATAAAACAAAAATTTTTAGGAAGTACACACTTAGATTATTTTGTTTCATCTTCATGATTGGTTTGCTAACTTTCCATTAATCAGAAACACAAATTGAAGCAAAAAGATGGTCACAAATTCAGGACTTAGTCATTGATTGCTTTTATCTCAAATATTAATACTATTCAGAAACTTCCATTTCATGATTTGTAAAAGAGCAAAATTAGCCTGTGATCTTTTGTGAAAGCATTGCAGAAACGTATATACAATGTAAACTGAAGAGCTTTAATTACTGGTTATTATTCGACACAAAGAGAAAGAAGATGGCATCTAGAGAAGAAATACACAGCGTGTGTTTTTATTTAAAAGAGGACAATACTGAGGATCTTCAGTGGCCACTATCAATATATTTTTATAATAGCACATAAAACAAATAAAAGCTCAAGAAAACACCAATTTAAAACAGTTTGGATAAGTTCTTTCATAAAATCAGAATCATTTGCAAAACTTTCTCATCTACTAGAGGAAATATCGTGTTATTCTTTAACTCACTCCCCCCTCCAAATTTGTTCTCTATTTCATAAACCATTACCTCATCAGTAGTTCAATATTAAATGAAAGTTAAAATAATCTGTTGCAGGAACATACAAGAGACAATAATAGAAACTGCTCCACCTCCAATATGCTTTCCCTTGTTTCTTCATTTGTAATCCTAAACAGATTCCTTTTGTCCACATGGGAACCATACTGTAAGTTGGCAAGTCTTGCGCATCCTTGTATTTTGGAATGTGGTGTAATGTGCTAAAAATCAACTGGCTCACGAGGATTTGTTTAGACTATTGTACACACCAGGCATCAGAGATCTGACAGCTTTTTGTTTTAGATTTTATAGGTTAATTTAAAATATCTAAAAGTGAATGCTTCAATTAAAGATTGTAGGAATTAGGAATAAGTGGCTACAACACACACAGAGAGTAGATATCTCCTGTTTAATGAAGTTGGCCTTTTATTAAAAGCCCACAAGTAAAAGAGATATAGAAAGGTTAAGAAAGAAACGGAAAGAAGCTCAGCAAGATGTCTCAGGCTTTACATGAAGAAGCAAGTTAATACAAGGGGTAAAAGGAAATGTAACTCCTACATCACACTTATGGTCACCATGTGAACTATTCTGTAACAGCTTCCACTTTAAGAGAGCGGGTCAAAACCAGTTCAATGTCCTTACATTTTTTATTGGTCTATCTTTTACTTTCTCTTCTCCTACACATCCTCAAATATTCACTGATGTTGGAAGTTCTTGGCTTCTGGCGTCTTATTATTATATATTAGTGTCTTGCACCAAGAATGAACGCAGTATTGTAGTGATGCTAAACTGATAACAAAACATTGATGTCAAACTTTTAAACTGACCTGATTCAAAATGATATTGATATTAACACCACATCAAACACAAAGCAAATATGTCAATACTAATATTAAATTTATGCAGAACAAAATTTAATTTGACAGTGGCCAAGTATATTCATTTACGATTAAAATTTAACTCAAAATTAACATTACAATTAAGAAAGTTAAAAGATGCCTCTCCATGTGAGAAACATGAGTAAAGACAAGGGAAAACCAGGGCAAGTATTTCACACTATTTAAAAAAAATGTATTGAAGAAAGCCTTATACTTGTCAACTCTCTGATTTCAGCATGATATAGTACAATTAAAAATTCTCAACAAATAAAAATTGAGTCACTATTTTTGCTGGACTATTTTTAAAGGAATAGTATCTACTTGTATCACCTTTGTGTTCATGAATCTAGGGAGCTCAGGTCTACATTTTGCAATATCATGGTTCCGGATCAGCATTTCCCCTACAACTTTTAAAGCTTTTCAGTTGGTCAGACCTGATGTTGGAGGCTATCAGTTCCAACAAACTGTATGCTCCTGGAAAATATAAATTAGCAGAGGACCTGTATGTACAACAGCACTTGACATGACAGTGTCATTCGTTAATTGGAGAAGGTCTGAGTAGACTTGAGAGATTATAAAGATTGGCTGCTTCAGAGACAATTGGTCATCAGAGGATCTCTGATTTTCAATCCGTGCCAATGATTGTGCAAGTGTGTGACAACAGAACTTTGGATTGTTAAAAATAAGCTAATATTACTGCCTGTCTTTCCTGCAAAGATGCTCTCTTGCAATTTTCATTCATTCTTTTTTCTTTCAATTCCACAATGGCTCTAGACTCCAGTTTTCTGTTCACAAAGTCAACAGAATCTCTAGAACTCACAATAAATCTAACAATATCGACAATCTAATACAGTCTGTAAAGGAGTTTTCTCTTTATCCCAGGCTATTTAAAGTTTCTCTGAAGTTTAAGAAGTAGAACAATACAAAGTACTGGCCCTGTATTGAGAACATTAAGCATGACTACTATCACTTGTGTTTCTTTGTAACAAATATTAAATACCAAATACAAGAAACCATAAGATCTGGATATTATACTTTTATGAGTCAAGAGACATACAACAAAAGCAAATTTCTTTCATTCTGTACACACCATTCACAAATTTAACTTAAGAACATACTAAGCAATAACAACTTGATTAATAATAGAGCTGTAGCATATGCTTACAATGTAATCCAAGAAGAACCTGAATGTCCAATTTTTCTAACACTTATTCCCATTTACACTCCTCCATTCACAAACTTCCTGAGAAATACTGAATTCAGTCCAGACGAAGGACTACTACACTTCAATTCTAGATGGTATGGACGGATATACTAGCTACAGAAGGAAAGGAGTTTCCTTCAATATACAGAATTTCCAGAAATCAATTCATGAACTCACCACTTAATTCAAATAGATATTCAATTCATATTTGCAAAAGATAAGAATATAGGGAAAATCTAAAGAAGTTTAATAAACTTCCTTTTACTTTCTCCTACACATCTATGCAGAGAAATATACTTACAGTAGAGATAGTTACATGATGCTGCGAAAAATTGATTCCCAAATTTCAATACAAATATGTTTTGGGGTTTCTCGATACGAAAAAAGTATTTTTTGTTGAGGTTTTTTCCCCCCTTTTCAAAACATCCATCCATCTGTCCATTCGTCTATGAACCACACCTAGCACCTTAACTATTTGTTGGATATTTTCCAAAATGAATATTCTTCAGTTGATCTGGGCAATTCAAAGCCCTGGAATTTTAAAAAACATTTTTCCTATTTTGTAGGTACTTTCACAAACTCTCTGAAATATTTTGAAGATTTTTCAAATATTTAAATTTTTTTCATAGGAATAGAGTAAAATATAAAGATGACATGTCAGATTTTCTCTGCCAAGAGTGCAGTTTTGAAAATTAGAAAAGTTTGTATTTTGACATCTTTCTATAACTACAATACTGAAAGATTTTTTTCAAATGAAATTAAAAAAAAAAAGCTTTCAAGTAATTTTGAGTAAAATATGTGCAATTTTAAAAAATATTTTAAATATAAGATCCCATAAATTCCATTTTGCTGTATTATTTCTTTCAAAAATTACACAAATGTAATTTATCTCTCGTGTCATTAATATTCACATTACTTACAGTCTGTATACTAAATTGCATATGTGAGCACAAGTGCATCAAATTATTTTATGAAGTTTATTGAAAACTCAAAAGTTTTCCATAAAAATTAGCTCAACACTGTGCAATTCCAGATATGCTGATCCAATTTTCTCAAAAACAGCTCCAAATGTTTTCTTTTAACTTTTTGTACAGCTTGTGCTAAATGGACCAATGAGATGTTAACACAATTTTGATTCAATGTCTTTGATTGTGTTTAAAAATACCGAAATGTAATTCTTTTGAAATATTTTTCAAGTTAATATTTACATTACAGACCTATTTTATATGTAATTACAATTTTACAGAAAAAGTGTTTCAAACAATTTCCAACAAAGTTTCTCGAAGTTTTCTGTGAAAACTAGTTTCAAATTTGGCATTTTCAGAAAAGCTCAAACGACATTTTCTCAAAAAACACACACACACACAGGTTGAGATTGCGTTGAATACGATACACTTTATAATAAAATCACAAATTTGTACAGCGCTTCAGTTAATTGTGAAGCAAATGAGTATTTTGTGGGGTTGGCCAACAAAAGATTGTTGTTTATCAAATTTTGCAATTGAGGTTGGGAATTACACAATACAGCTTATGCAACTACTATCTGAACTCACTGCTGAAACTGATTTGCAAGCATTACATGTATATAATACCACTAAAGATTGTACAACATGGTAATTGAAATTTTCCACTTACAATGATTGCAAGTTGCTAACTGTTTAGAGTTGAATTCATACATCTCATTCTGGAAATCCTGGGTAAATGAGGAACATGAAATACTGAACAGAATTTTTCTTCCTTTCATTTTTTGTCAGCCTATTTTTTTAAAAGGTACATCAAAACAATTGTGTCACACACACAGACATATACACACACACACACACACACATGCACAATATCTGACACATTATACACACATTTGCATTGCATACACACTGCATGATCTATTTTAAATATTTATATATATTTAGCACATTTTGTGATTATTAACAAGCACAGAAGGCTGGGCCCTGACCTGCGCTCAACACTTTGACAATGCCTTTCAAGATCCCGTCAGATCCAGAAGAATGCCTATTGGTAGTGAACACTTGCATCTGATTTCACATTCTATTCTGAATATAAGTACATAGCAAAATACTGATACACTATCAGAGAAATATCTTTTCACAATGATTGCAAAATATAAACATGAAAATATTTTTAAGTTCTAGTTTCTACAAGTTTTGTACAAATAAATAGAAAATATTTACAGAAAACATGTAAATACATTTGCTGCACACATGAAATATTTGGGCACTTAATAATTTATAATGAACTGCTGAACATTCACAGATTCATTTAGGGCTAGGGCAAGAAACACACCTAGGGGATAGGTGTGAATTTGAGGTTAACAGACAAAATTGGTACACCAACATTTACCTGTGAATGGGAATGTTTTAAAGCATTGGATTGCCTTTCAAAATATTTGCAAACCAATAATATAAAACAGTAATATCTATATTCTTTGCAGAGTTCTCGTGGGCAGCTTTGAAAGAGCCCGGACCTGACCTGATCTTGGGCTTAGGTGCCAAAGTGTCATTTATGGCCACAATAAGAAACAATCCCTATTTGAATACTTAAAAAAATATGCCATCTCATTGTCCTATAGAACACCTTCAATAACTATTTTACAAACACAGACTCATCAGATATTTTCATGTAATTATGTACAATTATTTCTCTAAGTAACATAAGAATGAGGAAATATATTATAGAAAATTATGAAGCTGATATTCCCCAAATCGGGAGTTCTATTGGCACATATTATATCCAGCAAGTAACACACAGGTTGCCAGGTATTGGTCCTATGAATGAAGAATAACCAGAACATGCATTAATGAAATGAAATTGACCAGTCAACCAAATCAAAACAGTAGAATTTAGTTTATCAAGCAAACACTGAATTTCCAACTTTAAATTTGCCATGAAAGAAACAAGTACAACACCAGAAAAAAGCAAACAATGAATGATTTACATTCAAACAGCAGTGATTTGTAAAACCAAACAACAAAAGCTGTTCCATAGAAAAAATGAGATGCTTTGCGAAGCTCATTAGCTTTGAGCTTCCAATTCCAAGGCTCATACATTATCACTAGACATCAGGCTGCCTATGCAACAATCTAGTTGCACTTTTACAGTAAATGCTCACAATGTTATTCACCTTTAAAAACTTTAAAACAAATATTTAAGAAATGCATTATTTCATATAAATGCCACATTAAGCTGGCTGGCAAACAGCAAATCCCTGCAGCATGTAAGCACTGGAGTCAAGACACACACAGAGCACCTGGTTTTAAAATCTGGAATGTGAATAATTCATTCACACAAAAGAGAATGTCAATTTATTTGCTTCACATCTTTGAAGGTATAAGCTACACACCACAAACTTAACTGTACAATCAAAATCTGAATTAACATCATCTTGAAATGTTTTTTTTCTTGCACATCCAAATACATCCGTGCTTAATAGCACTGAGGTTTTCTGTGAAAACCAAAGAGCCCGCAAAAGAAGAATGAATAGGACAGTTGAGAACATGCCAGCGCGGCAACTCAATGACATTTTAAATCTTCAGATTTGAAATCTAGGAACTCTGCATATGTATTTTTAAACAAAGAGCATTCATCACCTACTATCATCAGTCAATTCTTAGAATGGATGGGGTGCAAAGAATGATTCTCTAATACACATGCAACCCCTTTCGCTCCTCAAATACAACAAAACATAACAATAACAGTACGACCACAACATAAAAATTAACAAGAGACAAGTTATGTAAACAGCAATTACATGTATGAATACGTCACTTGGAACATCCTCAGCAGTTGCTGTGGCGCGAGCCCCTCATTAATGGAACTAGCAGTGCAGGAGCGCTGGCTTGACGCAGGAAAGGGTGCTGTAGAAGCTCAGCTGCTGTCGCACGCTGAGCTGGATCACGAACAAGCATGCGCTCCAGAAAACCTTGCAGGCGAGGTGATACCTACACAACAATGTTTTTATGAGGAACCTTCCAAAAACTGCAATTTTTCTACTTCAGGAATTTTTGCTAACATGTTAATACGAGAAGTGACTAGTGTTAGATATCCAGGAATTTGGAGAAAAACAAAAACAATGAAACAATAACAACTTAGACTGAAAAATGCAAATTCTCAATTCAGTTATATTCAGGGCATTCTCACATTGTGCATACCAACTGAATTCACAAACCCCTTGCCTCATTGCTTACAACCCAGCCATTGCCAGGTGGCTCCAAGGGTCCAAGGAAGAGGTCACCTGCCATTAAATAACTATACATATTTTTGCATTATGACTTTTCTTTCTTTTTTTTTTTTTTTTGATATTCCTGGTATGTAAGGAACTACTGTACTGTGTACAAATATACACAGTACTACAATGTTATTGCAGTATTTGTGGACACTGTTCTTGTTTGAAAAAATTGACTTACTGCAGTGTAATAAAAGAGTATCTTATTTGCTCTTCTGTAGTGTGTGCACTACTTTTTGGAAACCCATTTTGTGTGGTTCTGCTCAGCAGCATTTTTCTTGTTGAAGGCCACTAGTTTTATATGCCACTTCCCACCTACAGACTGCTCTCCTAGCTCCATCTTACCCCTCCATGTAATTAGCAGTCTCAAGTAAAATTAATGAAATGTTAACTTGCCTTATGAGTATTTTTGAGTTTTGGAGGAGGCATGTCCCGAATGCGTCTCATTGCCTGAAGTGGTGGTTCATTGAAGAATGGGGGTTCTCCATCCACCATCTCAATTACCATAATCCCTGTAACACAAGAGAGATATCCATTTATTTTAACCTTCTGATGAATAATATTATTTTAAAAGGTTCAAGTCAATAAAGTGACTTTGAAGAACAGGTAGTTTGGGTTAGAACACATTTATTACATAGCAAATTAAAAATGTTCTTAATGTATTCATTTGCACCAGAAGTCATAGGAATGAAGTTGATAAAAATAACCAACAATTGTCTTACGGCATTATTAATAATGAGAAGTAACCTTTTAGTTCAAGACAATCAATTACTTTTAAGAAGGAATCTCCTCACTACTCCGCCCCCAGCCGCACCTATATTTCAAATTTATTCAAAAAAAATTTTCTCATAAATAACAATTAAAAAACCACTTCACCAATACAATTTTTTTTTTGGTTGAAATCTTTTTTCAAGTTTATTACCCTACAGGCAAATATGTATACGATATTTTTCAACAAAAAACATAAAAATTAAATATAAACTAAATTGTTAAATCACTCACTTTCTACACAAAAGAAAAGAAAGAGAAAGAAAAGAAAGAGAAAGAAAAGAAAGAGAAAGAAAAGAAAGAGAAAGAAAGAGAAAGAAAGAAAGAGAAAGAAAGAGAAAGAAAGAAAGAAAGAGAAAGAAAAAGAAAGAAAGAGAAAGAAAGAGAAAGAAAGAAAGAGAAAGAAAGAAAGAGAAAGAAAGAGAGAGAAAGAAAGAGAGAGAAAGAAAGAAAGAGAAAGAAAGAAAGAGAAAGAAAGAAAGAGAAAGAAAGAGAAAGAGAAAGAAAGAGAAAGAAAGAGAAAGAAAGAAAGAAAGAAAGAAAGAAAGAAAGAAAGAAAGAAAGAAAGAAAGAAAGAAAGAAAGAATTGATTAATAAATTATAAATGTGAAAAATTGTGATAGAGGTAATCATGATTTTCAACATACTTTGATTTTGAACAAGGAACTCAGAAAATATCCACATCTCATATCTGAAACCATTCAGATTAAGATCCTCAAAACAGTAAATAATGACTGTAACATATTCACCAATGTAATAATAAAATTCTTTCAAAGATTAAATTGTTTTCTAAACACCTCCTACCTCTAAATAAGGTTTCTTTAATTTTTCCTATATACAATTCAATTGTTGTTAATAAAAAAAGT